AGAGAGAGAGAGAGAGAGAGAGAGAGAGAGAGAGAGAGAGAGACCTATTGAATCTTAAGAGTGACTCTCGGACTGGAGTGATTAAGGGCATTTGCTATTCTTGTAGAGGACTCAGGTTGGGTTCCCAGGACTTACATAGCTGCTCACAACTGCCTGTAACTACAGTTCCAGGGAATCTGATCCCCTCTTCTGGCCTCTCTGGGCCTTGCATGCACATAGTGCACATACAAACAGGCAGGGACACACACATAAAAATAAAAATTTATTAAAGAGTGGCTCTCAGTCCTTAAATCTCATTGCCCCTTTGTTCAGCCATTTGTTGCAGATGCTGTCACTTGATCCAGCTAGACAGTTGTAACTATAATTGAAAGTTCACTCAAGGCAGATATTGTCACATCAGTGTTGAGTGAACCTTCCATACAAGATACTTCCAAAGGCCCCAAGGGTCCAGAGACCAAGGGTTTCTCCAGACTAACACAACAGTTTGTCTATCTGTAGCTACACCTGCTAGACACCATTGCGCCGTGTGTCTCATAAGTTAGCCTAAACCTCATTCTCCTTATACCAAATTACACCTAGCAGATAGGTTGTATGGTTCAAAGAAATATCTATTGCCTTCACTTGTGTCTAACAACTGGAAGCTTTCAGTCACTCCAGAGAAGATTTCAATGGTTGTGATGTCCCCACTCTGCTTAGTTTTGTCTGAGCACAAAAAATGAGACTACCAATGGATAGTGACTATTCTCTGCTCTTTTCTATGACTGTGCCTATTGCATTAGTGTGGCAGAGACTCCAGGAAAGATTTCAGCACTTCCTTCTTGATGGCTTGGCTTTGCTGGAGGGATGCTTGGTGATAGCACCATTGCTGGGGTGCTGGGTGTTGGGAAGGACCAAACCAGAGTGGTAGCTGGGAAGTGACTTCTAGTGCTGTCCTGTTTCAGGAGACCACTCTTGACATGTTAGTACTTAAACTTGTATAAGAATATTTTGAAAGTTTCCAGAAATAACAATGGACTTTGAGGGACCCATGTACCAGATAAATACAGAGAAGAATTTTGCATAAGACCTTATTTATATCTATCAATGTCCAGAGAAAACTGACAATAACTTCTTGAAGAACCTATATCAGGAGCTGTGGAAAGAAGTTAGTGACAGAAAGAGCCCAAAGAATCATCTTCTGAGAACTGGAATCATGAGGCTGGAATGGTGCCCTGCTTTCCAGTATGGAGTAGAGGGGAAGCCAGAAGGCTCTGATACCTTCCTTTGGTAGCATGATGTGGGAGACTGGTCCACTCCAGTTCACCCTGGGAGAGGATTAGAAGAGCAGGAGGAAGGACATGAGTGACCCTCTACTCCAAGTGGTCTGTCTTTAAAATCCCACATTAAGGGGGTTGGAGAGATGGCTCAGCGGCTAATAGCACTGGCTGCTCTTACAGAGGACCCAGATTTGGTTCCTAACACTGACATGACATCTGTAACTCCATTTCCAGAGGTATCTGATGTCTTCTTCTGACCTCTGTGGGCATTGCACTACATGGGTGCACTTAACATACATGCAGGCAAGACACTCATATACATAACTTTTTTTTTAAATCTCACATTAAGTACTTGTTTCTGAGGAAAAGTGGAGCTGTGAGCACAATTATGGAAAGACAATGCAATTTCCTCTTGTGGGGAGGTCAGAATGTCTCACTTAAAAGTTCAAGTCTGAGAGACTAGGTTAAAGAGAGGTGCAGGATCACTTTAGCGAGAACACAAACCTCCTACTCCTACTTGCAATAGAGGAACTGAAAAATACGTGTCCTAGGTTGGATAGGGATTCTGCAGCTGAAGAGGTCATCATTGCCAGGCCTCAACCAGTTCTGACATGGTCCCAACTGTGTATGAAGGTTTGGGGAGCAGAGTAGTTGCATCTCCAGAGCAAACACTGACCCCAAAAGGCAACACTGCAGCCTGTGGGGTGGTGACCACATCACACTGAGGTCCCACAATGGTGAGGTCTCCAAAACAGATGAGGTGTCTAAGAAACAGCCACAAAGCTGCATCAAAGGGACTGAACAGCTGTGAATGCATTTTTTATTTCACACTGTTCTGAATACACACACACAAACACACACACACACACACACACACACACACATACACACACACCAATAGATTTGGATTGATAGAAAAAGAGCATAACTCCTACATTGAAACTACCATATCTTCAAGTAAGACAGCACCTTTTTTCCCATGGGGTTGGTCAGTAGTCCTGTGGATGGCTCTGGAGCCCCTATCAAGGTGAGGCCTCTTTATGGTACCTCAGGGATCTTAATGTTATTTATCATCAGACTGTCATAAAAGAGAGGGTTTTGTTGCATTTTGCCCAAAGCTACTTTATTGAATAACTTAGTTCATTAACAAAGGATAAATAAGATCCACTTTTGTTCTTTGATATATTACATGTACATGATTCATGGTATATCTTCATAAGGCAAAGAAATACAGCCAGATGTACCCACTACATTCACACACAAAAAAAAAAACATGACATATGCAGTCGCTACATATTCCGCTTGTAGTGCTTGTCTGTGTGGATAAAGCTCTTCAGAGGGCATAGTGGCATCTGTCAGCTGGGATGACAGCAAAATGTGCATATGTCCACCTCCCCACATTCAGGGGCTGCATGTATTCTGCTCTTTTAAACAGGTGGTCTGGTTGAGTATAAATAAGCCTTCCTGGAAGGTGAGAGTATCCATATATAAAGATGACTTATGAAAACACATTTTGCAAAATGGAGCAAGAAGACCCTTGCAGTGCTTCTGACCTGAGAAACTACACACTTGAAGCTGCACAAGGACAGAATCTGCATCTGGAACTTGGCATCAGATATGCCCAGCATTGACTTTCCTTTGGGACTGAAAGCACTTTGACATTCAGAAATGAAATTTTCATCTTAAAAGGAGAAGACAGTGTATAGCCCAGTCATACCACATGTGCTTAGCATGTGTAAGATCCGGAGGTCCATTCCCAGAGTGAAAGAAAAAGGAAAGAGAGGGAGGGAGGGAGTAAGGGGGCGAAGGAGGGAGGAAGGGAGGGAGGCTCTTAGAGGAATATCATGATGAAACAGATGGACTTTGATTCTAAGTTGAGAAAAAGAGAAATAAGTGAAGAAACGTAAGAAAGCAAAGAAAAGTTCTGGGCTCTGGAAGCATTGAGCTGTGAACTACGGCCAGGGTGACTGGAAGGAGTGGCAGAGCTGAACCTAATCCCCACAGCCTACCAGGCCCTGCCTCCTCCTCTTGTTTACATGTTTACAAATGAGTTTCCCAAACAAGCTGGGCCACAGCCCAAACTCAACAAACACATGTATGCATACTGGCACCCCCTTGCCCAGTGGCTAGGGAATGACACAGGGGGCTGCAGAGATGGAGGAGGAGAAGTAATAAGAGCAGATTTCCCATTTCCTTAGCACAAAATCCTTATTTCGATTCTAAAACAAAATTGGCTATGCTAATTTGCATGTGAATGAAAATGTAACTATACATCTTTCAAAGCATCAAAGTATGCCAGGACAATGGCCAGCATGCCTATTTACATTTTTAAGGAAAGAAAACAAATTAATATCAGTCAGACAAAAAGCTACTAAAAATAAACCGATGGTACTCATGCGTTTTATCTAATTTCAACCTGGAAATCTTTGCTCCAAGCTAGCTCAGAGGAGAATTCCTTCCAAAGGATTTTTTTCATGTTGCAAATGGGAACATTATTACATTATTAAATATCAACCAATTCTGTGTAAAGTTGGTGTCTTCCAAATTCCAAACATGGGTATGCTTTCTTCTCAATAATTTGAAGACATCTCTCCAGTCCGTGGGAAGTGCCCACTGTTTTGTGTTCTCCATTTGCTGAAGAAAGGGGAAATGCCAAGTGCTGATGGGAGTGAGCAAAGTCTATTTGTCCACTGAGAGGGAGAAGGTGAAATATAGTCTCTCAAATCCTGACCATTTCTTGGAAAAATTGACAAGAGCCCCAGTGCAGCCAGAGTCCACTCTGAGTCCACACCGGCATCTGGTTTGATTCCCAGCTTTGCTAAGTCCCCTTTCCCACCAGCTTCTCAATCTATCAAGTTATAGGCTCTTGCTGTCTGCCCATGCAGACATGGAGTGAAGGCTGATCATCTCCTGCTCCGCTATAACTCAGCCTGTAATCATCAGCTTGCCTCAGCTCTCCTATAAAATGCTTGCCACGCGGGTGGGGCTATTCACCTTCCCATCCAAATGTGCAAGATTCAAACAAGTTCTGCTCTCAAAGCAGTCTCCTTTCTAAACCTTGAAAAATAAAAAATAAAGCACACCCACTAATTGTGGGATCATCAAGTGGATTCAGGTGGCCGAGAAATCATGACTGTATGTGACCTAAGTTGTCCCTTCCACGTGTGACAGGCCTGGGGCAGCTTTATCTGCCAACATGAGTCAGAATGGAAGCTGAAGTTCCTGCAGAAGACCTCCTGCCCAATCTGGGGGAAGAGTCCACGCCACAGAACTGAAAACACCCTTCCATGCAGGAATTCCAATCAGACCCTTGTGTACCGTTTAGTATCTGAGTGAATGCCAGCCCTCTGTGGTCAAGGAGGATTAATGCATGCACTGGCTTGTATTTTTCCAGACTCAATGAATAGCATCAGCTAAACATAGCACAGTAACATAACACTGAAGTCACAGGGCTCGCTCTTTGTGTGTGTGTGTGTGTGTGTGTGCGCGCGCGCGTGTTCTTTCTTTTTTAAAGAAAATGAAACATTTTAAGCTCAACAGGGATTTGAGAAACCAACTTTGGATAAATGAATGGCCCAAAAGAAAAAGAGACATGCGTCATAGTGTGAGGGCACAGGCTGTGAGTAGATTTTTACAGCTAGCACAACCATGAAATGGACACGTGGCTTTCAGTAAATTTCACGTTTCCCTCTATCTACCTCCCTCTTTACTCCAAAGTTGGGAGTATGGAGTCATTAGTTATCCAAGGGTATGCTATGGCTGGGAGGGCTTAGAGATTAGCCATGTAAGTTGTCTATCCTCACTGACAGGGCTACTAGGTTATTCTTACCCATTGCTATCGGGACAACAATTCATGGCTAGAAATGAGGGCATCATTCTAGCCAGTCTCAACTGGATAGTTACTTAGAAACAAGAGGCCAAGTGGTGAGCCTGGTGTTGATTGTGCAATGGAATTTTGGGGAGGCTTTTCAAAGTCTTATCTTCATACAGACATCGCATACTTTGTTTTCTACAGCCCATATCTTTCTGTCCCCTAAATGTCACCTACAGTAGTGCTTATGTCCCTTATTAAATAACCAATAGCGATTGGACTGTGATCTAAGGAATAAGAAATTTGCAACCAGAAATCAGTTATGCTCAAAGAGTGAGCCCCTTGCCTTATTTCCTTACAACCACTGACCCACAGGAGAATCTACATAGGTATCGTATTGGCTTTCTAAATGTTTGTGTTTACCCAGACTGGGGAGCTACTTCCCAGTCACACAAACACTGGAAGCCAGGCACTGTCCTTCCCTGGGTACACAGATCATCTCCTCTTGATGACACCTGCCTTGGGCTTGAGGAAAGCTCTGTGACTATCAGCATTATTTTGAAGGTTGGCATTTTAAAGACTAACCATAAACAGATACTTTTGCATTGCCTCCCCCAAACTATCATGTTTAAGAGGGAATGAACTGCCCATCAGACCAGAGCAGGGTGATGGTAGAGATTTTGTGAAAAGGCATGGTATGAATCTAAAAATGTAATCAGCAACTTAGAAGAAACTGTTGCACTTGGGAGTGAGTTCAGAATAAATGATGTATCTTGCTTTAAGATGCCTCATGTTCCAGCAAGCTAATTATTTATCCATTGAGTTCACTTCATTTCAGACCAAATCAAAGTGTTCCAGGGTGTGCCAAACGTAGAATTTTTTTCTGGAGATATAATCACCCCTTGAAAAGCACAGTGCAAGGACTGGAAGCCATTTTCTCTCTCCAAATGCATTGACGAGGTTTTTAAATCTCAAGTACCACTACTCTAGTAGTCAAGAAACAGCATAATGTACCCCCTGCCCTGCTGACATCCAAAAATAAAAATTAAAAAATAAGATCTCAAGAAGGCAGAGAAACATCTTCCCCTTTGTGTGCTCAGTGAGATATGGGGATCTTCCTGAACCCCTAGGGATTGGCACTAGGTCATCCACTGAGTACAGCAGAGCCACTCCAAGTTCAAGTCCAAGGGCTCCCCCTGCAATGGTTGCTAGTCATCACAGGGGTCAAGGCATCAGAACTGCTGATTTTTCCGAAAGTCTCAAAGCAGCAGCAACCACAGCCGTTTTCCTGCCAAGCAAACAAAATATGAATCTTGTTAATTCAGCAGGACTTTTAAAATTGTAATTAGCTGGTTGTGCCCCTTAGGAAAACCACAGATGATTTTTCATAATGTATGTGCGTACGTGTGAGAGAGGGAAAGAGCGAGAGAGAAACCTCTTGACAGATTCCACTGCTTACCCGAGCTGGGTTTTTAGGTTCCTGCGAGTATTTCAGCACTATTTGCAACATCTAGGGACAAGGCCCTCTTTGTTAGAAGCACAGCCGGTCCTGTGCTGTTGCCATCAGTCCATGGTCAGCTTGATCACAGCATCAAAGTGAGAATTTGGGTTAGGCAGGGGATACAGCCGTCCCTCATATCGGTGGGGGGTGGTTCCAGGACACCCCCCCCCATAGATGCCAGAATTCACAGATACTCAAGTTCCTTATATAAAGTAGCATAATATTTGTGTAAAGCCTACACAATCTCCCATGTATTTTAAATCATTTCTAGGTGACTTACAATGCCCAGCACAATGTAAATCCTGTGAAAATAGTTATGCTCCATTGTTTAAGGAATACTGGCAAGAAAACAATCTGTACCTATTCAGCACAGAAGTAAATTTTTTATCCAAATATTTTCCATCCACAGCTGAATGAATTGGAAGATACCAACCACACATGTGGAGGACTCCCATATTCCTACCTCTGACCTGGCTGCATGCTCTTGCTGCCTGAACTCACTTCTGTGGATCTGAGGCAGCACTGCAGTTTTATTATCTCATAGATGGGAAGAAATGCAAGGTTGGGACCAATTGATAGAGTGCCATCAGATTGATGTTTAGAGTGCTCTCTTGATGAAAGAAACTGAAGAAGATTTATATCCCTCAGTTTACCTTGTGGATTATGCCTTCTTCATAGGACCTAGAGATCTTTCTTTTCCACAGAAATAATCTTTAACCACCAGATTTTTGGAATCAATAATAGTATTTTAAATTTGTTTTCGCTCTTAATATCTTGAAAAAAAAAAAAACAAAAACAAACCTTATCTCACCCTGGCAGAGAATGTCATTGTAAAGAATTCTTTTGAACTTCTCAAATGAGTTTACTCCCAGTGTTCAAGTGTTTATACTCCCTCCCACCCCCCTCCACACACTTTTTTTTTTCTGTGATGCTGGGAATTGAACCTAGGTTTTGCACATGCTGGGTAAGTGCTCTATCCCTGAACTACATATAGCCTCATCCCTCTTTTATATTTTTAAATTTTGAGACAGGGTCTTACTAAGTCGCCCAGCCTAGCCTTGAACTCATTCTATAGCACAGACTGGGCTGGAGTTTACCATCCTAAATTAATATCTTAAATTTATTTTTTTAATTAAAAAAAGGGATGGTGCTCTGTAGCAGACCACATGCACATTTGCATGAGGCCTGGGCTCCATCCCCAGCACTGAAGAAGAAAAGAAAGAAAGCAAAGGAAGAAGCGTCCGAACTGGATAACTTCAAGATGATTCTCCTTGGCTTGCAGGGAGACCCAAGTGAATTTCTGTGGCCAAACAGGGTAGAAACCCAATGAAGGGAGGCAGGCAGCCCATGTGACCATCAGGAGGTGCAATATGACAGTGCAGCAATTTCAGCAAAGGGTGTGCCCAGCTGTACTGGTGTGACCGGCTCAATGCTTCCATCACTGTCCTGTCATAACTGTCGCTGCATGAGTTGCACTGTCTTCCATCTCATTGGGTTCAAAGTGACAGCTTTGGCATGGAATGATTTTACCTCCTCCCACCACCATTTCTTCCTCATTCTTTCCCCACAGACCCTGGCGACAGGCCTGCCTTGGAATGCAACCCCCTGTCACCCAGTACATTCATTCCCACCAGGCCTCAAAAATGACTCCAGTATTTTCTGTGGGAAGGTGGTTTGTGGTGAACCCTGGGGGTTTGTGGTGACTGGGGACAAAACTGCTTCTAAAGGAAAGAGTGAAGGAGGAACAGGAAGAGGGACAGGCATCGCCTGGTTGTTTTGGGGCCCTGGTCTTTCACAGCTTCCAGTGCGGGCGTGTGACTGAGTGCTGTTGCTTAGGCCTGGAGCTCTGAAGTTCCTTAAAGCAAAACCTTCTGCTTCTCTGTACATTACTGCCCTTGTAATTTTTAACAAACAAGAACAATCCTCTAAACAGAGAGCCCAAGCCTTCTCAATGACTGTTCATGCATTCCTAAATGTCAGACTCTTAACCCTGACAGCAAAGGCCAAGTGCTTTCCAAACCCTGGTCTGAGCCTTTGACTATGGTGTACTGGTGTACTCCTACCCCATTTTATTCTCTAAAAGACTCATGGCCACTTAAAGAATATATCCTGACAGACAAGCAGAAACCACTGGCTCAGAAAAAAATACAGATTAGAATGAATGATTAAAAACTTAGAGATAGGGTTATAGCTCAGTGTTAGAGAGCATGTGTTTAGCATATATAAGGCCCTGGGTTCTATTCCCAACACCACACATACACAGGGGGAGACGGGAGAGGGGAGAGGGGAGAGGGGAGAGGAGAGAGGAGAGAGGAGACAGAGAGAGAGAAAAACAAAAATTAAGACCACTTCCCACTGTAAGAACATAAGTTCTGTTCAGTTGTTAAAAATTAATTGCAAAAACTATTGTGGACTTTTTTTCAAGATAGGGAGTAACCCCTTCCAAGGACATGAATGTTGTGATTTCCAACAGGCTTTCGTAGTCAGTGTCCTGCTGTTCCTTTAGTTTTCTTTAGGACATACCTTGAATTAGTTATTGATACAAAAGAAGGTATTCAAGCATGACCCATCCCTTAATAATTCCAGTGGGGCAGAGAACACATATCTGAGTTTATGTAGAGTGATGTTCCTTGGAGTCAGAGAGCAGAGCCAGGATCACAGGCAGCTGGTGTGGAGGGGAATGCAGGTTTTAGCTTTTAGAACAACAGAGGGAATTATACTCTGTTTTCTGGTAAAGGCTGCATGGACTTGGGTGAGTTATTTTGTTTCTGAATCCCTGCGTCTCAGTTCACCCATCTATACAGAAGGTATCATTTCCTCTGACCTTACTTGGTTGTAAAGATACCCTGAGACAATTTCTGTTCAGAGATTGGAGCCCACTGAGCTAAGCCTCAGGGCTCTGCCTGAATTATCTCAGTGGGGTCACTCTGCAAGCGGAGGCAGCAGACTACCCACAGTCCACACAGCAGGGAACTGCATTTCCTCCTTTAAGCTTGAGTGAAAACACAGCAATCTGTTTTGGGCCCTTCTCCCGCCCATCAGCCAAAGCATTGCCAGCTTTCCTCGATATCTGTACAAGAAACATTCCATTTCTTTCTTATTTTACTCACATATGACTTATACAAACACCAGTCCCAGGACCAGAGGAACACATTTTCATGATGATTAGAATCTGGTTTTCCTGGGTACAATTTTAGTTATCTCCAAGTAAATGTAATTTCATTTGTTCCTATGGGAGTAGGCAGGGAAGACCTGAGACCAACCTTTTAGATAGGCGCCTTCATGAACTATTTGGTCATGAGGTTCTGAGCACCAGAGCTGCGGTTCTTCTTCTAGAAAACCAAGAGACATTTGGGGATGGATTAGAATGGTTTTCATCACTTTCTGAGTTATGACAGAACAGAATTGATCATTTGCTGCTGGTACATAGTGCTCTCCAAGAGAAATGTATATGTGAGGTTGGAATTGCAAACAACTTCCTGGTAGACAAACTTCTGACCTTATGGTCCAGCTCAAGTCAGTACCCTGCTGTGCTGTAACAGAACACCATCACAGTTTTCCTTCTCCCTGAGAGCCAGGGTCAACCCACTTACTCCCTAGTCATATGTAATTTACAAATTTGTGTTTTCTCGAAACCCACTTTGACAAAGCAAAAGAGCCAGAACATGTGATATTGGGGCTGAAGGATGAGACAGGCACAGGCATGGCTTCTTCCAGGTGAGTTCAGTCTAGTAGATGAAGGGGCCTAAGTGCCATAGGGAGATTTAAGAACCTCGGTTGGGAATTCTACAGCCATTGTAAAAGAGGCAGCATTTAATATGGGCCTTAATCAGTAGGATTCTGAGTAAAAAGTAAAGAATGATACACAACGGGGTGCGTGTTTGATGTACAATTAGGACAGCTGTGACTGCTGGTGTGTTGGCTCAGTGTAGACAGTGGGGGATGTGTGAAGACTTTCTGGTTGAGGATTGCCATGACACAGTTTGGATCCCAACTTCCCTCAAAAGGCCCAAGAGTTATAAAGGTTTAGTCTCCAGCCTGTGGTGCTCTTGGGAGCTGGTAGAGCTTCTAACGTTTATTAGAGCCATGACTTTGAGAGAGATGAATGAAACTAGCCTGTTCTTTTGGTCACTCTTTTCCTAGCCACAAAGCAAATGCATTTGTTCTTCATCTCCACAGATCCAAAAGTAGTAAGGCCAAAACTAGGAAGGAAAAGAAGAAAAAACTTTCTCTTGAGAAGTTCATCATCTTAGGTATCTGTTATAGTGGACTGGAAGGTGATTGATACAGAAGTCAGAAGTAAGGAAATCATTTGATAGACTACAGTATAAATGGAAGTGGGTATTAGCCCATGGTGTTTTATTGTCCATTAAAAGAGCAGGACTGCAGTTACATTAGGAGCTCTCAGAATGGGAAGAAAGGGCAGAAGGAGGTTTGGTTCTAGGAGAAAAGCCACATTATCGTTGTTCAGATTTCCTTCTTCTGGCTCCAAAGCACTGAAGAATTTTGTGTGGGTGAGTGGGTGGGGGCAGGGCGGTACCTAAAGCTTTCTAATAGTTGGGAGTACTTTGACTCAGCTCTGGTGAAGGATGTTTCTGATGTGTTGTGTATGGTTGGGGACATATGACAGGACAGAACCACTGCATGTCACCTAGAGCCCAAGACAGAAAGCAGAGAAATCTAAACCTTAACTTCCTAAAAGAGGGAAAATGCCTCCTAAACCACAGAATAGGCATGTTCAACTCATCAAAACTAATAAGGGCTTTTAAAACAATTAAAAGAGACAAGAATGTATAAAACACTTTAAAATAGAATTTAGGTCAAAATGGAAAATAGTTTTGGATAAGAATTAAAATTTCAGTGTAAATATAAAATATTTTGGTCTTTTTGAGACAGGGTCTCGCTGTAGCCACAGCTGGCCTGGAACTCACTAGGGTAGACCAGGCTGGCCTTGATCTCATAGAGATCCACCTGCCTCTGTCCCCTGAGAGCTGGTATTACAGGCATGTGTCACCATGCTAGGCATAAATATAAATTCTTATTTCGGAGAGCACATAAGAACCAAAACTATTCCAAAAGTAAATCTGGAAAAATTCAGAACCAACACAGGTTGAGCATCCCCGGTCCAAAAGTCTGCAATTTGTAATGCTTCAAAATCTCAAACTTTTTGAGTTCCAACTACATGACACCATAACTAGAAAATTCCATACCTGACCTCATATGTACTAACAGTCAAAATGTAGAGGCACTAAAAAATATACACGTGGCTACCTGCAGATTATATGCACAAGGTGTATATGAAACATAAGTGAATTTTGTGTCAAGATTGGGTCTCATCCTTAAGGTATCTCATTATGTATACGAAAATATTCCAAAACCTGGAAAGATCCAAAGTCTGAAACACTTATGTCCCCAGCATTTTAGATAAAGGACACTCTATCCGTATTTCATTGAGAAAATAAAATAATGGTTGGTGTGGTGGCGCACGCCTTTAATCCCAGCACTTGAGAGGCACAGGCAGGCAGATCTCTGTGAGTTCAAGGCCAGCCTGGTCTACATAGGGAGTTCCAGGACAGCTGGGGCTACAGGGAAACCC